CGGAAGAGTGGGGAGCTCCCAGTCCTAACCTGGGTGGAACTGTGGTTTGGCAGTGTCAGGTGACAGTTCTCAACTCACATGGATACCTTGAAAATCGCCATCAAGTTCTCAGAAAAGGAGAATTTTAAAGTCACATCAATAGTATATTTCCTTTGAGTCAACTGCCTTCCCCAACTTCAAGATTGATCATTTAGTCTTAGTTCTAGAACTCCTACATAGTGGATGTTTGTAATTTTGTTGCTTCTTTCCCCAAATTTACCTTGGGCTTGGTAACATGGAGTTCTTTCACCATTTGAATATAGTGTTTCTTCCATATACCCTGCTCAAAGGGAGTTGGAGAGAAATTGATGTACCAGTTAAACCGTAAACATTTGAGCATCCAGAGCTGATCCAGTTCAGTTAAGTTCTTCCAATGCCAGCTCACCTGGAAAAACAACAAAAATTAAAAAAAAAAAAACTATTCAGTTTACATGCTCACTTTCTCTAGGTTTTGAGCTGTCCCTTTCCACCAAATCACAGCTTAGTTACTTACTGCCTAAAGTGCTGCCTAGCCAGGCAGAAGGATTTTTTTAATGTTAATTCAGACTTAGAATCAGAGTCAACTAATGTTTATTGAGCACCTATTAACCATTCTCATAGCAACCTAAGGAGGGAAGTATAATTATTATTCTCATATTGCAAATGAGGAAACTGAGGCTCAGATAGACTTTGGAACTTCCTAAAGGTTCCTGAAGGTCTCCATATGAAAGTTATATGAAAGTTACAGAAAGTCCGGTTGGCACATTGCTTATTCTTTTCATGATATGCTTCCTTTTTTCCCTCCATTCTTATGATTTAACTAAATATAAATTTTATAAAGGGAACACCATTGCTAATACTATATTGGAGTGTCATAAATAGCCTTTAAGTTTCAATAGAGCATTAAATATTTGTTCTATACATTCCATTTCCATAGCTTTAGTGTCAATCCTACACATCCAGCAAATAGTGGAGGTGACCCTATTATGTGTAGTAGTACTTAAAATAATTTACTCCAGGTTTTGAGTAAGTCTTGTTAGAAACTAGAGTCGAGTCCATATATAAAGCTGAGACTAGGCATTCTATGTCTCTTATCAAGAGTTGCAAAGATGACAGCTAACCTTCAAACTCAAATTTCATCCTTGGAAAACTGGCCTATTTTTCAAGATTAACTACATAATGAATAATGTTTGAGTGCCCCCCAAATAAGCAGAACACTCTATAATGGAACTTGCTACCCATCCATCCATTTACCTATCCCTCTCTTCCTCCCTCCTTCCATCCTATCATGTCTAGGATTGTTTTACGCGCTGAAGATGAGACGTGCAAGAGAGAGGCATGCCGGAGAGGGCACAATTAGAAGTAATGACAGGTTCAGGAGCTGGAAGGAGGAAAAAGCTTAGAGGATCTGATAGAGCCCTGCGGGCAGAAACAGAAATCACATCTACTTTGTTCAACTAGACATGAAACTACACAGACCTTAATCTCCATATGGTTAGTTAACACAATTCAGTGGAGAGGTGAGGTTTGGGAAGGAGGGGATGGGGAGAAAAGTTGCTCAATTCTCACTCTTTTCCTCTGAAAAGAGGAACCGTAGATCTGGTTTAGACCTGGGTATTTAAGTTGGGGGTCCCCCCACCGGGGTAAATAAAGTTTTCTTTTCGTTGTTTTTTGTTTTTTAAACTAAACAGGAATGAGGAGAAGGGTAGGTAAGAGCTTTCAAAACTATAAGACAGGGACTTCCCTGGTGGCACAGTGGTTAAGAATCCGCCTGCCAATGCAGGGGACACAGGTTTGATCCCTGGTCCGGGAAGATCCCACATGCCAGGAGCAACGAAGCCCGTGCGCCACAACTACGGAGCCCACGTGCCACAACTACTGAAGTCTGTGCGCCTAGAGCCTGTGCTCTGCATCAAGAGAAGCCACCGCAATGAGAAGCCCGCGCACCGCAATGAAGAGTAGACCCCGCTCACTGCAACTAGAGAAAGCCCGCGCACAGCAACGAAGACCCAATGCAGCCAAAAAAAAAAACAAAGTTAACAAAACAAAACAAAAAACTATAAAGCATCCCCCACCATATTTTTAAACAGCTCAAACCTCATTTTGGTGCAATGACTTTACTGTTTACTTTAAATCTAGCTGAAGAACAACTGCTTCACAGTCAATTCTGGGAATAAAATACAATGCTGAAATCTTGCAAGACTGACATATGGTGCACATAGATGAGAGGATTAGTTAATTTAAAATAACATCTCCCTGGAATGATAACATTCTCATTGTGAAACACTTGGAAAATTCTGAGAAGCTTGAAGAAAAACAATACCCATAACCCCATCAATCAGAGATGACCATTATTAACAACTTGGTAGAGATCTTTTCCTTGCCATCTGTTTCCTAGGCATATACGAAACAAAACTGGGAAACTCTGTATACAATTTAAAATCATGCTTTCTTCATTTTACACATAATAAGCATCTCTGTTCTTCCAAAACATGTTTTCTAATAGCTGCAGAGTAATTCATCATATGACTGTATGATACTCTCTTATTATTGGGCATTTAAAATGCTATGTTGGGGACTTGCCTGGTTGCGCAGTTGTTAAGAATCCGCCTGCCAATGCAAGGGACACAGGTTCAAGCCCTGGGCCGGGAAGATCCCACATGCTGCGGAGCAACAAAGCCTGTGTGCCACAACTACTGAAGTCCATATGCCTAGAGCCAGTGCTCTGCAACAAAGAGAAGCCACTGCAATGAGAAGCCCGTGCACCACAACGAAGAGTAGCCCCCGCTAGCTGCAACTAGAGAAAGCCCAGGCGCAGCAACGAAGACCCAACACAACCAAAAATAAATATGTAAATAAATAAATAAATTTATTTTTTTTTAACGCTATGCTTTTTTTTTCTTTTTCTTTTTAAATATTTATTTATTTTCTTATTTGGTTGTGCCGGGTCTTAGTTGCGGCAGGTGGGCTCCTTAGTTGTGGCATGCATGTGGGATCTAGTTGCCTGACCGGGATCGAACCTGGGCCCCCTGCATTGGGAGCACGGAGTCTTAACCACTGCACCACCAGGGAAGTCCCGCTATGCTGTTTTTTTTTGCGGTACGCGGGCCTCTCACTGTTGCGGCCTCTTCCGTTGCGGAGCACACGCTCCGGACGCGCAGGCTCAGCGGCCATGGCTCACGGGCCCAGCCGCTCCGCGGCATGTGGGATCTTCCCGGACTGGGGCACGAACCCGTGTGCCCTGCATCGGCAGGCGGACTCTCAACCACTGCGCCACCAGGGAAGCCCTATAGTGTTCTTTTCCATGGAGAAAATTTTAATTTTTATAGTCACAACTTACAATCTGTTTTCTTTATTCTTATTTATAAAACATATATATCTACAAAATATATAAAATAAAGATTTTAAGTTATATATTTTCTTTTGAGGCCCTGAATATTATACAATACTCACAAAGGCCTCCCCCCCTATGTTTCCTTTGAGTACATTTTTGGCTTGCAGGATCTTAGTTCCCTGACCAGGGATGGAACCCGGGCCCTCGGCAGTGAAATTGCAGAGTCCTAATCACTGGACCGCCAGGGAATTCCCTCCTTTGAGTACTTTAATGGTTTCCTTTAATTTCATATCAATCTTTTATCCTTCTAGAATTTTTTTCCAGATAGCTGCCCAATTGTCTCAACACCATTCATTGAATAATTCATATATCTTACTGCATTCATTTTCTTAATCTTAAAAACTAAAGTTACCATGTTACACATATGTGAATGCAAAGTAACAGGTAATTTCTGGTCTTACTAGACTATGAAAAGAATCAACAAAATGACTATCAGTTTTATATCTTAAATAATATACTTTAATACACCATGGAATTACTTGTAAGAAAATAATGGTCAGATCCTTTCCCAACCTCACCCCTGTGAGCACATCTGCCCACTCTGAAGACTTTTAGTCTCATATTCTTTTGTAATTATTGCATTAGCACCTTATTTTAAGCTTTTCTATTTATGAATGGCCTGCACTCTACAGTTTAGGATTTTACTGTGGTTCTGTGCTGTGCAACATAAGACTATTCTGCTGATGAACCATTATATACATGTGTATTTGTTTCCCCAGCTAGTTAATACTGTTTTGTGGACACTTAGTAGTGTCTTACACTTGAGCACTAAATGCAGAGTCAGACACAAAGGAGATGAGGGTTAATTCAAACTGTACAGACTAATCATACTGAGCATCTCATCTACTTCTTGGTTTTGTGCACATGCTGTTTTTTTTTTCTCAAGTTTCAGCGTTTTGTCTTTACAAGATGCCATACACTGCTTCTTTTTCTTTACCTGTGCACAACGACAAAGGCTTCGGGGATCCAGGAAAGAAAAGATATATAAAGATAACACCCTTGGAAGCTTGGTAGTAAAATCCAGAGCTTCTGCTGGAATTTTTTCCTGAAGCTTTCGACAGCAGAACTTTTGCTGTGACAGGGAGCAGCGTTCTAACAGCCCTGTCAGGATTCTTCTCCTTTGAGAGTCTGTCCATTTGTCAAACTGGGGGGAAAAAAAAAGGAAAAGAAAATTTAAAAAGCTCCAGGTTTAGTCTGACACCAGAGATGCATTGTAAAAAGAAGAGATAAGAATGGCATAGAAAGTGAGTTTAGTAATTTATTCCTAATGAATAGCATGTATTTCTT